TATTTAAAGCTGCAGTTGCAAAATATTTATAACATATTGTTTTTCTTTCTTCTTTTTTTGACGATATATTAACAGGTTTTATGCTTGAAAGTTATATAAAGTTGGATATATGTTATTTAAAACAAGAGAACAAAATGTATATTTATATTCGAGACATAAATCGACGCAGTTAACAAAGTTTGCTCAGATGTGTTGAAGTTTGAATGAACATAACACATCGTGAATGAACGTCAAAGAGGCAGGACAAATCAAGATAATATGTTGAAACTTTGTAGAATGGACAGCAACTGTCTGTTGTAGAGACACAACAGTTTCATCATGAATGCTCTGCCTAAACAATCTATCAAATAATAAGATAATATGTCTTTTATACTACCCAGGTTGTTATCCTGAAATATAATTATACATTGAAAGAAGTAGATTAGTTTGGTTAACCAACAAAACTATTTTATTTTCAACATCTTAATGTGCTGATCTAAAATTTTCGTTGACAATTATTTAAAAACATTTTTTTTACTTAAAAGTAGTTTATAAATAAGAACTGTTTTATTTGTCAAGAAAAGTTTTAATGATTTATATGATTTTGTTAGATCCAATTAAACTCACAATTTTATGCTTTTGCCATATATATCTATAAATTTCTCTCTCAATGGAGAAAAAAATTCCTTTTTGTTAATACGAATGTTACATTTTTTAATTAAAGTGTGTAGTCATTGATCAGTAGACTTACTATAACTTGTTCACTATTCCATTTTGCGAAGACTTTAAATTGTCCTTTACTTAAATGTTCATTACATTCTTAAAGGCTCTTAATCCTAGAAAATGACGTTGCATGATTTTCATATGAGGTTGAAACCACCTAGTATTACGTCAAATATAACCTTAAAAACGCTTAGGAGATTTAAACTCACGATCAGCACCTGAGTTCTTTATTATATATATTCTACCTGTAAACCCGAATAACTGTCGTAACCTACATTAACGTTTAAAGATACATTTGAATTCAACTTGTCGGTAAGCTTGATCACACAGCGTACGTAAATGATTTCTAATTAAAGTAACTTTTTTAATATGGTAGCACTAAAGCAATTTTCTGTTCGGTAACATATCAATTGGGCTGTTTAAGAATGTTTATACTATCTAGATAGGCATGAATAATATTGTTTATAATACGTGTTGGACAGACGTATTTAGTTGACATTTTGACATTTTCTACTCCCTTATGTTGTTTTTTAAACTTGATTGATTAGAATTTTTTCAAAGGTAATCAAAACTTGTTTATAACTCAAAACTAAAGCATAAATCTATGAAGTATTTTTATGAAATATCTCTCATTCAAACTTATTACTTATATTATGAATGAAGATATAAAATGTTAATGTTCAACTGTTAACATGAATTTATTAATATTCATTATTTTAATATTATCTTAAAAACTATCAATTTGTTCAGCATTATTAAAAATAACGAAAACATTATTCACATACATTCAATATTATATTTTCTTAAACGAATAAGTAAATTCATCAAACCCGGAATTTATTAGAGAGCGGCAGGGCTGAACTTGATCTTATAGCTAATCATCAACTTGATCACAGAAACAAATTATAGTAGAATTGAAAATGGGATACCCTGATGTCAAATGAATGAACTTTTGAAATTATAATTTCATTATTTTTATCCTGGCATGAAAACTCTGTGCATAAATTTAATCTCATCTATCATAATGTCAATATGTAGAGTCAATATTAGCAAGTTCATGGTTATATGTCCCAATACTAGACACAATCGGTTTAATCAAACAACCATCTTTACAAAACTTAAGAACACCTAACATAATAATAGGATTAGAACTTCATGGCCTTAGTTTTCGATATTCATATTAACATAACATGACATTAAAGGACAACAAGGAACCTTTTGGTCCATCTAGACTGTTCTATCCACTAAATTAAACTAGACACTAAAAAAATTAATGGCAGCCCTTATCATTCAAATATTTATAAAGCTTCCCCTTAAACTCCCTAACATTTACGGCATCTACCACACCCGAAGGCAATCCGTCCCAAAGGCCAACCATGCTGTTAGAAACATGAAGCTGTCTTAACTAAAGATGACTCCTACCGTGCCAGAATTTATACTGTGTCCTCTAGTCTTACCATTCTCACCATTAAATACGATAGAAGATGACGCATCAACGCTATCAATTTTATTAACAATGTTAAAGACCCCCTTTAACTCCCCTTTTTGAAAAAAAAATAGAGATCTTAACCTATGCTCATATAACAACCTTTCCACCCCAGGTATCATCCTAGTAACCTTCCTCTGTACTCTTTCCAATAATTCAATGTATTTTCTAAGGTAAGGAGCCCAAAACTGAACACAGTACTCCAAGTTTGGCTTAAACAATGACCTTATAACCTCTTCAGACTTATATTCAATGTTCCTGTAGATACAACATAAAATTCTATTTGTTCTGTTACTAGCAATAGTACACTGCTTAGATGGCTTAAGAGACCGATGAATCAGAACATCAAGATCTTTTTCCCCATAACACTGCTAAGGTTATTCCCATCAAAATAATACTCATAATTAAAATTTTGATATTCCACATGCATTTATTATAATCAAATGTCGGCTGTCATTTATTTGCCTCACTGACCAAATAATCCAAATTCTTTTGTAAAGCAGTAGCATCCTCCTCACAGCCAGCAACACCTCAAACTTTAATGTAATCAGCAAATTTAAATGATATATATTGACCATTCCTTCATCTATGCTACTGATGTAAATCTAAGACAGCAAATGACAAGGAACCCACTTTGCCATTAAAACAGCAAAGGTTCTAACACTGGGCCTTGAAGTGCCCCACTCATGACATTAACCCAGTTTGACTGAACTCCATTTATAACAACCCATTATTTTCCATCTAGCCAGTTATATATCCAATGAGCCAATATATCCCCCAAACCTACAGAGACAATATTTTTAATAAGCCTTTATATGGCACCTTGTCAATTGCTTTCTGGAAATACAGATATACCAAATACACATGTGTACTCTCATCTACATAAGCATTAACTTCTTAAAAGAATTTCAAAAGATTAGTAAGGCAAGATATTCCCATAGTGAAACCATGTTGTCTATTCAGTAATATTTAAACTTTGTTAAATGACTTTGTAAATCATTTTTATCAGCTATTCAAAAACGTTTCCCATTTCTGGTATAAGACCAATAGGTCTATTTTCTTAATAAGCTCAGAATTAATGTGATTATATTTTCAGTCTTGTTTTCATCTAGTAACAGGTCAGGATGAAGAATATATTTTAAATCCTCATTAATAAAAATTGAAGAAAAAGTAGAATAACCCAGCCATCCCACAATCATCAGATATTAGCCTTTCTCTATCATCCCTTCCATTCTAACATTTTGCTTACCTTTAATGCATTTGAAGAAATCCTAACTAATGTTTTTTTTACATTTTCAGCTACCCCTTTTTTCATTTACATTTTTGATTTCTTAATCCCCATTTGACCAACTCTCTTGATAGTCTATAATGCTCCAAATCCCCATCACTCCAGTCTTTTAAACTTCTTATACTTATAATGCTTTTCGTTAATTTTACCCTTTATGTCCTTTGTAAGTCAACTTGCTTTTTTAATTGCAGTCATCATGTTTGTCTATAAGGAACATACCTATCTTGAATATTTAAAAAACTTATTTTTAAAAATGTTCACATTTAATCAGTATCTTCAAGTAATCCAGTTGCAAAATTCACAGCAGATAGTTCTTGTCTTATTTCAATAAATTTTCGTTTGTTAGTTTTAGTTGTATTTCTGTTAAATTTTATAAATTATTTAAAATGTCTTTAAATTTATTTGAAATGAACATACAATTTCCTTTATCGAAACTTCTAATTACTATACTTTAATTTGTACTCAAATTTCTAATAGCTTGAAATTAATCCTTACTTATATTTATGGGTTTAACTTTAAAGTTATAGTTGTTTAGCTACGTTAAAGCAAACACGCTTACTTTAGTTCCTATACTATTGAAATATACATCGCAACAACTGCTTAAAATGCAGTAAATAATCCCTAAATTTAAGCTTTTTTTTATGGAATGGCAATAATTAGGACACGAGTAATACACCCTTTTCTATGTAATTTAAAACATATTTAGGTAAGTTAAAAATCAACAAAATTTTCACTTTTAGATTCTCTTAGCTGATTTATTTTCTCTAAATGTTTTTTTTCATTTTAGAATAATTTCATTATTTTGTGTACTATCCATTTAAGTAAATTAATATAACCTAGATTGCTACATATATATCTTGTAACAATGATGATATTTCTTCTAGTTGTCGATTAATTACCTTATGAGTTTAAATTTTTGGTTTTACTTCAGAACGTAATAATTGTTTTTTTGAATTTTAAAATCTGCCTCAAATGATGAAATTGGGGAATAGAAACTTGAACAATAACCAACTTAGATATTATACCGGTAAGTTGTTCAAAAATACTTATATCTAACCGATTTGTATAATAGTTTAAATATCATTTTTCGATTTTCTGAATAATGATAAAGTAAATATATAATATTTATTGGTAATTGTAGTAGAAAAAGAACGTTTATTGATCAATATACTTCAGCTGAGGATAAATGAGAAAATAATGGAACCTGTTCGTTAGCAACTTTGAAGTGATTTCTCTTTATAGTCAATAATTTCCAAACAATAATTAAAATAAAGAAAGGAAATTTTAAGCATAAGTCAACATATCACACAAGAGGTGTTCGTAATAGAACTTTTGCAATAACTGATATTTTTGACCACGTGCTGATAATGTGTGCAATAGATAGATTAACCACCGTACATTTACATGTTTGAACACATGAAAACGAAGTATCTGAACTAACCACATGAGGTAAATACTTGGTCACGTAAATGGAACATAATCCTAGCAAACTCCCCCCCCCCCCCCGTGTTCAGTTCATTAATAGTACAAACATGTTCCTTTTAAACCTTAGCATTTGATCTACAGGGCGGCACGAACCAGAAACGAGGGTGCCAAAGTTTCAAAATACGATTTTGTTGTATATCTCAAAATAATTTACAAGCTTGTTAATATTAACAAAGGCTAATAACAAAGTATTCCTCGAAAAAGGCTCTAAAAACAAATATCAATATTTATGTATTGATGTTGCCTTTCATTAAAGTATTGCGTTTGTCATTTAGATATCAGATTAATTGTAAATTTTAAAAGTATATCTGAATACACAAAAAGTGAAAAAACGTTTTCCAAGAACAATGATGGTTTGCTGATAGTATTTTTGTTTGCTTGTATGTCTTCGGACTTACAACGCTAGAATCCGGGTTTTGATACCCGTGGTGGGCAGAGCACAGATAGCCCATTGTGTAGCTTTGTGCTTAATTACAAACAAACAAACTTATGATGCCGCCCTCCAGTGGCACAGCGGTATGTCTGCGGACTTACATCGCTAGAATCCGGGTTTCGATACCCGTGTTGGGCAGAGCACAGATACCCCATTGTGTAGCTTTGTGCTTAATTACAAACAAACAAACTTATGATGCCGCCCTCCAGTGGCACAGCGATATGTCTGCGGACTTACAACGCTATAAACCGGGTTTCGATATCCTTGGTGGGCAGAGCACAGATAATCAATTGTGTAGCTTTGTGCTTAACTTCAAACAACAACAACAACTTGTGATGCCAAAATAAATACTGAAATAAGTGACAAATGAATCAAAGACTCGTTGTAGAAGAATGATCAAATATTAACTTGTTGGTTCTAATCCAGTTGGACAGACTGGCTCTGACCTAGACCACTCAAGAATAAACTTGAGGCTGATGATTGAAGCTGTTTTCATTAGTGTGCCAAATCTTGACGAAATCTGGTCATTAATTTTCCAGATTCGTTGATAGATATAGAAAGAGAGTGATATACTGTGGCAGACAGCTTCAGATAGATGTACGTGCAATAGTGTGTTTTAACGTGGTATTTATAATGCTTATTCAAATGAGGCACAACAAATTGGTACTCAATAGTTTACATAAATATATACTTTTAGAATGTCCCGTACCATTTCTTTCTGTTTATAGTATTAAAAAACAAATTTTTAGAACAAGTAGCAAAAACTGAGCGTATGTTATCTATACATAACGTGTGAATAAATTGTTTTTGTGTAAGATCAATATAGAAGTATTAGTATAGAAATTCCTTTCAATATAATAAACAATAATCTTTATAATAACATGTTTGATCCCAACAGTATCCTTGTGTCTAAGTGAAACGTGATACTGGTATCTCAGTATTAATATTCTTGAATAAACTTCTTTTCTTTGTTAGTATGTCAACGGCACAGAATGTATTTTTCAACACTTATAGTTAATAGGAAATATGCGTGGATTTCAATTGCATCCATCTATTTATCATGGCATGCAAACATGTGCATGGGTATGGGGATAGACTACACCAGACATTTGTAAAGTAATATTCATGGATTCTCCAAGGTTTTGGGTCATAATCATGTATATATATATTTGAAATATCATATTTGGTTTCAGCAGTCACTTCAGTATAAGCTGTCTACACATAAATTGTTATTTAATATCTGTTGTTATCGGAGTAACATTGATATGTTACTGCAGTTTTAGAGATATCCTAACTCGATCAGTCCTAATATTTGATTTACACTGACGATGGAAAAAGAGGGTCCGTTAAATTTCCTAGACATGACAGTTAAACGAGATAATGAGTTTCTCTCAACGTCTATTTATGGGAAACTATTTTCTGTGGCTGTTCCACCACACAATAGATCGTGTCACCCATTGGAAACAGACATTATCTGCCACATTTCTATTTAGAGCTTTAAAACTCTGCACTCACGATTATGATTTAAGATCAGAGTTATTTTTTTTAAACAAGTAGCTAGAGACAAAAGCTATACTCCCGAAAACATTGATTGACTGTACATAAAACATAGCAATAAATTAAAAATGGCATCATCTACAAAGTTAAAGGGAAGGATAACGTTGACAACATGAGGGTTTGTTTGCCATATGATCAAGGTTTATCAACAAGAATAGGCAACATAATTATATATTTAGGTAGAAAACTATAAAGTGAATGAGTCGGTCTTAGCAGAACACGTGGCAGGCACATATTATGTTATAGACTGAAGTAATGTTAAATTGATCAATCAGGTGGAGTAGTAGTAGTATCGCATGACTATCCGGGAGTAGGACTGGCGTCCTAGTCCGGACACAGGATGAGCATGCTTCGGTGTGACGGGGATTCGAACCCGCGACCCGGAGATTGCGAGTCGAATGCCCTAACCACGTGACCACAAAAAGGTGGGCTATGTTTAGAAGAAATAAAATACTGGACTTATGTTTTATAAACTCTGGGTGTTTAAGTCTAGATAGTGCCAAAAGAATGCAAATGATTTGGGTAGCTATATAGGTCTTAATCCTGAAGAAGGTGCCGCAAGACAACCGAAACATGTAGTCTTTTTAGGGCTGGTCCCTTTTTGTAATAAAGTATTTATTATGCATTTATTTAACTTTGTACTCTTTTCTTAATTGTATATATATGTATTGTACAAGTGCCTTTTAATTTATTTAACTGGTATTCAAGGCTTAGCCAACACAAATATATACAAAGAACTTATAAAAAAACATAACTGGTGAGCTCGGGTGCATTTTGTGATATCAGCACTTTATTAATCTTCGTTTATTTATTTCAAATTTCAAAATTTTGTGGGAAAACGATGATCATTATTTCTCTTTTGTCATTTACCAGTTTTTATGTAGTTTTTAATTATAATTCCTAAATTAAAAATATCGTAAGATAGAATATACGAGCGAGGTAGATTTTCTTCATTACGTGTACATTGTGGTTGAATTTTTGTAACACACTGCCGTTCTGAGATCTCACATTCGAACGTATGAGGTGACACATCTCTCTTATTATTTACAACCTGCTGATTATTAGTTAATGATTAGATGATGTTTCGCTCAATGAATCTTATATGTATAAATACCGCAGTTAAATACTGCCACATTGTTGCCCGATGAAGGCTTCGGTAAGATGGCCGAATGCTCGTAAATAAAAGTATTTTAACGTAGGAAAATGTCCGTGTATAATTCTACATATTAATCTATCTACGTTATTCAAGAAAATATGGTATAGATCAACATCAAGCACATGTTGATATTAAATAAGTAAGAATCAAGAACAGTAATAAGCAAAACTTTCATGAAGTGTTTTGCAATCGAATACTAACAGCAAAAGAAAAGGCTTAAGAGCACATGTAAATGCAAAGACTAAAAATGACCTTTATTTTTATTCAAAAAGATGAAAGTACTATGATCATACAGATACTGGTTGGCTTCCAAATTCATTGGTTAACTGGTCTGACTAACAGAGCAGATAGTA